CTCTGTATGTGTGTCTTTGTTATATTTTTATTTTTTTTTCTTCTATCTCTTTTTTAATTACTTTTCTGTCTTTGTATTCTCTTCCCTCTTCCTGCTGCGTTGCTGCTGCTGCTGCTATTGCTGCTGCTGTTATTGCTGCTGTTGTTGCTGCTGCTGTTGCTGCTGCTGCTGCTGCTGCAGGGCTGCTGAGGCGGAGAAGCAAAAGGAGGCGCTGCAGAAGATGAACGCCCGCGAGGAGCTCCAGGTAGAGCGCAGCAGCATCAGCAGCAGCAGCAGCAGCGGCAGCAGCAGCAGCAGCAGTAGCAATAGCAGCAGCAACAGCAACAGCAGCAGCAACAGCAGCAGCGGCAGCAGCAGCAGCTGACGGTGAAATTTTCGTCTTTTGTTGTGCTGCTGCGCTCTTTCAGGCTTCGGAGCAGCAACAACGACTGCAGCAGCAACAGCAGCAGCAGCAGCAGCAGCAGCAGCAGCAGCAGCAGCAGATTGAGCAGCTGCAGCAGCAGCTAAGAGCTGAACGACAGCACAGCGACGAGATGAGGAAAACTCTGCTGGAGCTGCAGGCAACCAGCGAGGCGGCGCAGCAGCATGCTGCGTTGCTGCTGCAGCAGCAGCAGCAGCACGAACAGCAGCAGCAGCAGCTGCTGCTGCAGCAGCAGCAACGCTCCTGCCCTACTTGTGTAGGCCGCGGCAAAACAAACAGCAGCAGCAGCAACAGCAGCAACTGCAGCATCAACAGCAGCAGCAGCAGCAGCAACAGCAGCAGCAGCAACAGCAGCAGCAGCAGCAACAGCAGCAGCAACTCCAAAGCAATATCAATTGTGTGTATCTGCTGCTGTTTTTATGTTGTGTTGCAGCAGGCTGCTGCTGCTGCGGAGGGAGAAGACGCTGCTGCTGCTGCGTAAGCCTGTGGCCACTGCTGTTGCTGCTGCTGCTGCTGCTGCTGCTGCTGCAGTTGCTGCTGCTGCTGCAGCCTCTGATGCCGTTGGTGCTGCTGCTGCTGTGCTTTTTGCTGCACTGGTGCGGCATGGCAGTTCCTGCTGCTGCTAATTCTGCTGCTGCTGCTGCTGCTGCTGCTGCACTTGCTGCTGCTGCTGCTGCACTTGCTGCTGCTGCACTTGCTCCTGCTGCTGCTGCACTTGCTGCTGCTTTTACTTTTGCTGCTGCTGCATCAGGGAGCGCAATAAACCTCCGATTGAAGACCGCCCAGTAAGTCTAAAAAACCCCAAGGGCGAGGGTTTAGGGTTTAGGGTTTAGGGTTTAGGGTTTCCTATATAAAACGTGGGGGTCTGTGTATAGGGTTTAGGGTTTAGGGTTAGGGTTTAGGGTTTAGGGTTTAGGGTTTAGGGTTTAGGGTTTGTTTGTGGTGTACAGACACTCGAGGAGTTTAACACCCTAAAGGCGGAGCTGGCAGTAAGCAGCAAACCCTAAACCTGCTGCTGCTGCTGCTGCTGCTGTTGCTGCATTTGCTGCTGCTGCTGCTGTTGGTGTTGGTGGCTGTGCTGCTGAACGTTTCCTTCGTGCTGCTGTTGCTGCTGCTGCTGCTCCCGTTGTTGCTGATGCTGCTATCGTTGTTGCTGCTGCTGCTGCTGCTTTTGTTGTTGCTGCTGATGCTATCGTTGCTGCTGTTGCTGCTGCTGCTGCTGCTGCTGCAGGTGACAAGAAGGGAGCTGCAGCTTTCAGGTTAGTTTGCTGCTGCAGCACTGCCGTCCACCATCCATATCTTGCTGCTGCTCTGCTGCTGCTGCAGCAGCAGCAGCAGAAGCAGCAGCACGTACTGCTGCAGCTGCTGCTGCTGCAGCAACAACATGCCCCAGATATTTGCTGCTGCTGCTGCTGCTGCTGCTGCTGCTGCTGCTGTTTTTTTGTATCAGAGTTGGCTCTCCGCCTCGAGCAGGAGAAGCAGCGCAGCAGCGAGAGAAGCCCGGCGTCTCCTATAGTGCAGCAGCAGCAGCAGCTGCTGCAGCAGCAGCTGCAGCAGCAACTGCAGCAGCAGAAGCTGCAGCAGCAGAAGCAGCAGCAAACAGAGAAACACCTCCGCTCCCAGCTCGAGATGCAGGCAATGGCTCTTGCAGAGCACCGCAAGACGGTAGGGTTTAGGGTTTAGGGTTTAGGGTTTAGGGTTTAGGGTTTAGGGTTTAGGGTTTGCTGCTGGCCGTGAGAGGCTGTGCATATATTCTTAACGAGTTTTCTCTGCTGCTGCTGTTGCTGCTGCTGCTGCTGCTGCTGCTGTTGCTGCTGCTGCTGCTGCGCAGGTGGCGGAGCTGCAGCAGCAACTGATCGAAGCGGAGTCCGCGCGGGCAAGGAATGCCGAGGTGGGGGACTGCTGCTGCTGCTGCTGCTGCTGCTGCTGCTGCAGTTGCTGCTGCTGCTGCTGCTGCTGCTGTAGTTGCTGCTGCTGCTGTTGCTGCTGCTGCTGTAGTTGCTGCTGCTGTTGCTGGTTGCCTTCAGGCTGAGAGGCAGCTGCAGAGACAGCAAATGGAAATCTTAGAAGCAAAAACACAGGCAAGTTGCTGCTGCTGTTGCTGCTGCTGCTGCTGCTGTTGCTGCTGCTGCTGCTGTTGCTGCTGCTGCTGCTGTTCCTGCTGCTGTTGGTGCTGCTGCTGATGTTGCTGCTGCTGCTGCTGCTAGTTCTTTTACTCCAGCTGCTGCCACGTTGCTGTTCGAGCCGTTGTTGCATTAACAGTTGCTGTTGCTGCTGCTGCTGCTGCTGCTGCTGCTGCTGCTGCTGCTGCTGCTGCTGCTGCTGCTGCT